CTTTCCCTGGAGAGTACACATACCCTATAGCTAAATAAATGAATCAGTTCCTCATTCACACCCACTACGCCGGCCACCATACTGTACTGCACAGAGAACATCTCTGTCACCACCGAGTTCCACTGGACAGCCTACCTTATACCTTCTACATAAAAGGATCAGATAAGGGAACCCCAAGATGAGAAAGCTCTGTGGGCCCTGCCCATAACCACCTTAGTCTAGCTGTAAAAATAAAAGTAACTGCAGGCTAAACTAAATACTTCTCTGTGGTCCCCATGTACCCTGTTTACTCTTTCAGAAATTAGCCACTGACCAGTCTGTCTCATTCATTAGCATAGGGGCTCTCAACCCTGGCTATGCGTTAAAATCACCTGACAAGATCTCAAAACTCAATGTTCGGGTCGCAATCCCAGACCAATTAAATCAAGATTTCGGATGTTAGGACCAGGCAGTGGGATTGTTAAAAAATTTATGTGGGACTAGCAGATGGCATAATGGTTACATCGCTGGACTCCCACGTAGTCGACTGCGTTTTGAGTCCCACATCTGGCAGCTTAAAACTCCTGCTGGGTGCATGTGTATGCACGCCTGTGGAGAGTGGCCACTGTGAAAAAACATGGCAACCTTTAGACACATGCAGAAATGCGCTTCTGTGAGCTTCATTAACGATGGCTGAGAGCACTTACATACAAAAACGCTATCTGCCTGTTGTTGTCGATACCCAGTATTAATATTTTAAAAAATTTATTTATTTATTTATTTAATTCCATTTATTATTATTATTTAATTTGACCAGAGAGAGACAGAAAGAGAGAGAAAGGGAAAGCAAGAAAGCAAGCTGCCAGGTTCAGGACCCGAACCGTGGTTGGCCATGTGGGAATCCAGCCCCTATACCCGATATTAATATTATAGGACAATATTAGGTTAAAAAAAGTTATATGTGTTTATTAGATTTTGTCTTAAAAATATTAGTATGCTGAAAACTTTTTAATTTAATAAATTTAAGAACAATATTAACACATTTTGGAAGGAATTTGGAGGATATCTTTATCCGTGTAAAGAGAGGCAAACAATTAGGGTCCAGCAGTTAGTGTAATGGCTATGTTGCTGGACTCCCATGTAGTTGACCGCAGTTCAAGTCCCGGACCCAGTGGCTTAAACTCACGCTGGGCACGTGTGCGTGTGTACCCAAGGTCCCAAGAGGAGAATGAAGGAAAAGGGAATGCAGCATGGCCATCCCCCCTGGGGGGTGATTTCTCGCTTTCTGTCTTTCTGGCGAGTGCACACGCCCTATAGCAAAAACCTCTCCCAAAAAAAGAAAAAAAAAAGAGAGGCAAACAATTAGAGGCATAATTATTTAATGTAAAGCAGATAGGTAAGATTTAAGAAGTTGTTTGGCAAGAATAATTCGCCTTTTAAACACTTTTTTAGGAGCTTTAACTGGCTAGGTACTTGTTAAGAGCCTGTCCCATGGGAAACAACCTTGAAACTGTAAATGACAAAACTGAAAAGAGTGAGAATAAATATATAGACAACTAGTTGTTTTTATTATATATAGTATTCCATTTTCTCTTTCTCCATTTTCTGCTCTTTAAAAAAAATAAACCTGAGGCCAGTTCTGGTTGTGCTTTCTCATTCAGAAGTCAGGCCCATCCGATCCTCGCCTTTCTATACTTGTGTGTCTTTGTGTGTTTGCTGTTACGTTTATTTCTAATCCACAGCCTTCCCTAAAAAAGTGTTCAGCCAAACAGGTCCCAACACATGCCCAAGATCTGAGAGGAGAATGGAGGAGAAGGGATTGTGGCATGGCCATGTCCCCCCTTGGGGACATGACTTCTCACTTTCTGTCTCTGTCTCTGTCTTTCCAGTGAGCACATGCACCCTAGAACAAACATGTCTCTCTCTAAAAAACAAAAAAAAAGGTGAGGGGCCAGCAGGTGGTGGTTAAAGGAATTGAATTCCCATGTGGCTGACCACAATTCGAGTCCTGGACCTGGTGGCTTGCTTTCTCTTTCTCAGGTCAAAATTTTAAAAATAAATAACAATAAATGGAATTAAATAAATGATTTTAGAAAATGTTAATTAATTTACTTATTTTTAATTTGACCCGAGAGAGACAGAGCGGTAAAGTGAGAATGCAAGCCACCAGGTCCGGGACTTAAACAATAGTCAGCCATATGGGAGTTCAGCACTTTAACCACCATGCCACCTGCTGGCCCTTGGCAATGGGATTTTTAAAACTCCCTGGGTGGGTCCAATATGTACAGCCAAGGCAGAAAACCACTGTCCCATCATGTGAAATTCTCCAGGGAAAGGTAACATCTTAGCCAAACTTTAGTTCACCTTCCCATTGACCTCTCCATCTCCCCAAGCCACACCCAGCCCAGTGGTTGGCACATGAAAGACATTCAGTAAACATCTCTTAAGGCCCAGTCATGACATCCTGACTGACACTGCTACTTAGGCTGAGGGCACATGTGAGACCCAGGTTCAACTCCCAGCCCACCTTAAAAGCCAAGCATGGTGACGAGCACCTGTATTCTCATCTCATCTACTAAGGAGGCTGAGGCAAGAGGATCATGACATAGTGAGACACTAGCTTTAAAAAAAAAAAAGTTTGTTAAGCAGCAAATGCAAATAGACAATGCCACAGCAAGGATTCAAAGGAGTTTAGAGGTTTAAAGGAGGGAGAGGACACAGCTGATTAGGAACAAGAAAGATTTCATGGTAGAAAAGCATGGGAAATGGAATCCGAAGTATGGTTAACATTGTAAGAGTGCAAGATAGGGGAGGCAGAGGCAAAAGAGCCAACTGTATGTTCAGAAACTGTAAATGCTAAAATGGTTGTGGTGGGAGGTAGCGACGGAGATGGCTGTGATGACCAGCAAAATACAAAGCTGACGTTAACTTCACATGCCAGCAACAGCTCTCAAGTGACGGGAGCTCCATTCTGGGAAGATCAAACTAGCGTAAGTGAAAAGAAAAAAATGAACTCAGAAAATCAACCACAACAAAAAAAAAATGTGGTGGTTGATCTGAAAGAATGGTGGTAACAGGAACAGAAAGAACACCCATGGCGTATTGTGAAGGTTATTTCTAATGACACCAGTAACTGACTGCACGTGGAAGGAAAAAGGAACATGAAAAGCGAGGCCAGCAGGTGGCATGGTGGTTGAGGTGCTGGAATTCCCACATTGTTGATTGTGGTTCAAGTCCTGGACCTGGCAGCTTGCTCTCTCTCTGGCAAAATTCATGTGAAAATTAATTAACTCAATTTAATAATTTTTTTTGGGGGGGAGAGGTTTTTTTTCGGTATAGGGCGCGTGCGCTCGCCAGACAGACAGAGACATAGAGACAGAAAGCGAGAAATCACCCCCCAGGGGGGATGGTCACGCTGCAATCCCTCCTCCTCCATTCTCCTCCCAGGATCTTGGGCACACACGCACACGCCCCTGGCATGAGTTTCAAGCCACCAGGTCCGGGACGTGAACCGCGGTCGACTACGTGGGAGTCCAGCGACATAGCTATTCCGCTAACTGCTAGTTACAATAATAATTTAAAAAAAAAAAAAAAAAGGATAGAAAGCATGACTCCAAGATTTCAAGATCTACCCACAACAAAACTGGCGATATTGGGGCCGGCAGGTAGCATGGCAGTTAAGGGAACTGGAGT